TTTTTCTGCGAAGCGAGATATTAATAGACAAAGTTGAGGGCGTATTAGGTTAGAAAATCTGTCATACCATCTATTTCTAGCTATGTAACTGGGGGGCTTCGCCCCCCAGACCCCTATATCACAGGGGGTGGGGGCTGTAGTCTTTTGTGAGAAATTCACTTTTTAGCTTAAGCACAATGATAGGGGGGTCTGGGAGACGAAGCCCCCCAATTACATAACTAGAGATAAATGATATGATAGATTTTCTAACCTAAAACGCCCTCAATTTTCTCTATTAATATCTCGCTTCGCAGTAGAGAGCGACGATTTTGTCAGAGGAAAAAGTTGTTTGGCATACAAAAACGTGTCGATTGAGTCTATTTTCATCGAAATCGGAGGTGTTGCCGCTAAACTAAATAATTATCAAAACCACAATTTACACTCTACATCACAAATAGTAGTACGAAAATCGGAGTGAGTCCCAGATGCGCACATTGACAAACGGACACATCCAATCATATGTCGTTGTTTATAGAGTCTCTAGAATATCTCTAGGCATATGGCGTTGTGGTTGGATGTGATAAAAACGAAATAAAAACACAAATATTTTCTACAAAACTATTTTTTATTTCTCATCAGTTGCATATCCATTGCATAAACAAACGATACATAATTAAATGATGATAAAATAAACGGTGCACATCATTCTGTGTCCAAATGAACAGCAGACAACTGGACGATGTCCAAGTGAACGGTGTCCAAATGAACAGTGCGCATCCTTCTGTGTCCAAGTGAACAATGGGCGATTGAACGGTGTCCAAATGATCGGTGTCCAAATGATCGGTGTCCAAATGAACGGTGTCCAATTGAACGGTGTCCAAGTGAACTGTGTCCAAATGAACGGTGTCCAAGTGAACAGTGTCCAAATGAACGGTGTCCAAGTGAACAGTGCGCACCCTTCTGTGTCCAAGTGAACAGACAAGCAATTCCACGGTGTCCAAGTGAACGGTGTACAAATATACAGCACGCATCGTTCTGTGTCCAAGTGGACAGTTGGCAACTGAACGGTATCCAAGTGAACGGTGTCCAAGTGAACGGTGTCCAAATGAATGGTGTCCAAGTGAACGGTGTCCAAGTGAACGGTGTCCAAGTGAACAGTGAGCATCCTTCTGTGTCCAAGTGAACAGTGGGCACTTGAACGGTATCCAACTGAACTGTGTCCAAGTAAATGGTGTCCAATTGAACGGTGTGTAACTGAACGACGTGCATTTTCTTTCGTGTCCAAACGCACCGTGTCCAATTGAACTGTGTGTCAAATGCCGTGTCCATTTGCAACGTGTCCATTTGCAACGTGTCCAATTGTACTGTGTCCAATTGTACTGTGTCCAAGTGCACCGCTCCCGGTTTAAGAGCGTAGAGACTACACTAACCCGTGTTCTCGAGGTGGTGGTTCGGACACAATAGAAGGTTAGGGAAGAAGAGGCCTTGCTTGCGGAATTGAGAAATTAGGAGTTAATTTTGTATAATAATTATATATTCTAGTAACAAAGATACATAAAGTCCTAATTCTGAAGGAAATGTTCTACAATATTCTAGGATGAAAGTTTGTGATTGCTAGAGTAAAAATTATGCGATCTAATTATTCTAAATCTTACGAGGTTCTTGAGAATGAAGTTAGAATTATGATTAAGAATTCTCCAGCCGATGCTGAAGATTTGAGGGATGGAGAGGTGTTCCGACGCCTACGCGACTCTCTACACTACTACTCATGACTCTCGAGTCCGACTCCTGATTCTAGACTGACTCTCACTACTATGCTCTTTCCAGATTTCCTATAGTGGGGTGAGGATTCTGACTTGGCGAAAGCGCCATC